CCTCATAGGGCCAATAGGATACAGTAGGCCCTGTGCTGGTGACGATGAATCTCATGAGTAAGGCTGAGGCTATGCGTACCTTTACATAGAGTAGGCCGGCACTATACATAAGGCTGGAAACTTCGTTTTGTACCCGCTACAGAGTCTCTGGGACTTCGCCAAAAGCCTATATAGCAGCTAACGTAACAGAAGGAAAACTATCCTTCCATCGGTGGGGATGTTGACTCTTCTGGTCTAACAGAAAGACAGATAAATGGATGGATGTCATGTCACCGTAGACAGTTCAACGGGGGCTAAAAGAGTTGGGTCACCGAATCCTTTCAGCCACAAAGCTAAACAGCGTCTAATTTCATGAAAGGAAAGAAAAGAAAATAGACCCGCTGTAATGGGTATGCATGCATTCCCAGCGTTTACTTAAGCCACAAACGCGCAATTACACGCGCGATGCTTGGTGGAAGGAAACTGGTTCGCTTCTCATCGATCATAGATAGACACATTGCGTGCACATACAGTGACCGGAATGATCTATGGAAAAACAGGGGGGGGGGGGGTGAAATTGTGGATAGAATCAAAATAGCGAGCATTGGTTTTTCATTTCTCTCTTTTTTCCTTTTTCCTTTTTCCTTCCTTTTCCCGGGATTCGGCACTCATCCTCCTCTCCATCATCCTCCTCGTCGCCCACAACAGCCTTACTGTACCACCATGAATAGATATCGTCGATGTCGCCAGTAGGAACTCGCTGTGGCTTTTCACTGAGACGGCCTGGACGGTTGGGATGTGCATTATCCCGTTCGGGCTGTTATGGGTTAGGGTGAGTGGCTTGGAAACATCTGGCTGATAGTTGGAAGACCCTGTCGCGCAATTCGCATCTTGATTGGAAGACAGATTAAGGATTAAGCGAGAAACGAAGGTTTGCTCCACTCTGAGGCCTTGAAGTCTGTGTGGGCCAGTGTGGCCAAACGCTGACTATTTTTCGCGCTCCAACTGTATGGAGAGAAAAGGTGGGATGATGGATGATTGATTAGTTGTTTCTATGAGGGAAAGGCTTGTTTTAAGTAATAAGCGAAATGTCTGAGGAAAACAGTTGGGGCTGCCTCTGACTACCTTCGTAATAGGCCAATCTCACGAGAGCTATTAGATACGGTCTTCCCGAAACAAAAATGTGGGAGAAAACAATTGAATAACCTGCCTTTTGGAGAATGTAAGTTATCTAGTACAAGTACTTCTACTGCGATGTAGAGTAAATTATCCCATCTGCCAGTCTTACCCTCACGCAAGATTTAACCATTGCGATCCCCATCCCTGGAATTCCTTCCAGGAAGAGTAGGTCAATCTGGCAAGTACATATGTATATAACCCGTCTAGCACCGATTTTGTGCGGCGCAGTTACTCTAGGATGTGTGATAACTTCAAGTAACGGAGACACACAGTCAACCACAGCCCGGAAATATTGTTTGGGCGTGGCGGATAAGCACTAGACCAGCTGCGATACCTTCGCAGGAAAAACCAGCGCACAGGGCCCTCTGTAGCCAATTACAGTGTTACCCAGCCCCAACTTTAGTTGTGAGTAGTGGGTGTGTGTGGAGGGTGGGTGGTAGCCCCCCCATCTGTGCGTTAAAAGTGATATGCTTTCCCACTCACACCTCTCTTCTTTCCTTACTCTCTCTCTCACTCTTACTCTTTCTCTTTTCCATCAATAAGAATAAGAAGGGACTCTCTTTATCTTCTCTTCGACAAAATAATAAGGCAATAATTTTTTTCTTCAGCAGCAGCAACAGCAGCAGGGGAAAAAAAAAAGTCATAATCATGTTGGGATCACGATTACAGCTTGCGGTGTCTGCGTTGATGATGGGGAAGTCGGCGATGGCAGCGGTGCACGTCGTGACTGTGGGGAAGGGTGATCATGACTTCAGCCCAAAAATCGTCAATGCTGATCCTGGAGACATCATCTGTGAGTTTAATCTTTTTTTTCCCCCCTCCCTCCCCATCTCAGCCTTCATCTTGTTTCCAGCGGATTTTTTTTGAGGGTTTTGTAAACTAATTTGATGGCACCATATAGCTTTTGAATTCTACCCTGCGAACCATTCGGTCGTGAGGATGGATCCTGATTATCCTTGTATTCCATGGGAGACTTATAATATCGGGAAGGGCCAGGGATGGTGGTCACATTTCTATCCGATTGATACTCCTTCAGCTAATGTATGTTCATCTCTACCATCTCGCTGTCCTGAAGATAAATGGAGAAGAGAAATATTATATTTTTTTATATATATATATCTACAATTCACAAGATAAAAAAATAAATACTAACAACTAAATCAATTTACAGCCCCCAACATGGAACATCACCGTCAACGACACCCTTCCATTCTACTACTACTGCTCCCAAGTCGGCAGCTGCATCACCTACGAGATGGTCGGTGCCGTCAACCCCCCCAACTCAACCTACGTCGACCAGGTCGCCGCCCGCGCCGGCCAAGCCGACTTCGCACTCTCTCCCGGCGAACCCATCCCCAGCGACAGCACCGCCACCCCGACCCCGACCCCCAACAGCAGCACGACCCACAGCTCATCAGGCGTCTCGCTCTCCGTCGGCGCCATCGCCGGTATCGCAATTGGAGGCGTGTGTGCATTGGCTCTGATTGGACTCCTGTTCTTCTTTGTCGGCCGTAAGAAGAAGGGCGCGGAGATGAAGGAGAACAAGACGGCGGCGCCGGAGGAGGGCCTCATGGGAACTGAGCACCCGCCGGTCTACCAGGATCCCAGATACTCTGTACTTCCTGCTGGCGCGGCGGCGAATCCGTGGGATAATAAGCCGGTGGATCCGAGGTTGAGTGGGGTGCCGATGAGTGAGAACTCGCACAGGATCTCGGAGTTGCCAGATAGTTCAACATATGATCCTGTAGAGATCTATACGCCGGGCCCGGAGGATATGCCCGCTCATAGGCGATAGAGAATCGGGTGGGCTGGAGCAGATATAGTGGTGGAAAGGGGGAGTTTAATGTTCTTCGTAGTGTAATATATTAACCAACAAACGACTCTTCGTATCTTTTTTTTGATGTTTTTACTATGTCCTTTTACTTTTTTACCTTTTACTCTTGTCGTTTTTTTTGCTATGCTGGTGTTGGGGGATCTTTTGTGCGGTGAATGAACGGTTGAATGGTTGTGGGAATTGTGGGCCGGCTGAGGGTGGGTGGGAGGGTGGGAGCCGGGTGGGTGAATGGCATAACCAACGTAATTCAGTATGAAAATTTATTGCTCCTGTACTCTATTTTTCCATTTTTTCTTCTGATTTTTCCTTTCACTTTCATTTCTCCATAAACCATACCCACTGTATCGGTATTTTCATCTATCTTTCGGTACCGAACGTACCTATCATACGCAATATTGGCTAACTAGGGGATGGGCACGGGGAAGGAGGAGTAGGAGGGCACGGTTGTGTTGTACGTGCTTTCATCTGTTCATCGTCATTGTTCATTCATTTCTTGTGTGTTTCATTCATAACTCTACCGGGTTTACGACTTGTAAGCTACGTATGGGGGCTGGTTGGTTGGACGTTTAAAAATAAAAAGCGATGCTTTCTTCTAATCAATCCCCTGACTCGGACTTCTTGATTTTCTGCACTTTCGGACTGGCCGATGAAATCACGGCCTGAGATCTTGCACGCCGGTAGTACGTTACTACACTACATACTTCTTTGACATGTCCACCTAGCTTCGTGGAGTAAGTAAGAAGGGTATTCGCGCTTCCAGAATAATCTAATAGCTGAAGGTAGAGTGGCCGATTTTGCATATTATTAAGAGGATGAAGAATACTTACTCTATACTGTTAGTCTAGTAGTGGTGCACGACAGCCACGTTTATCCACTTTCCACACACTTTCCACCCAAATCAACCCGACCCGCGTCTTTTCGTTTGTTCGTTTGTTGTGCATCGCAGGTTACGCGGCAGTACATACATAGAGGTAGAGTCAAGCCTAGGGCAACCCTTTCAACTGGGGCTGGCTGGGCCAACGATAAAGAAGTGGGTAAATATATACAGCTTATCCTTAAAAGAACTAGAAAATGCAAGTAACGGAAACAGGGATTATTTGTATGAGAGAACGACGCTACTCCATACAAATTATCCTTGCCCTGAGCAACTGCATTTTCTGGTTCTTACGCTGGTAAGCGTGTATCTGTGCGGTGGTGGTGGTTGGGGGGCCGTCTGAGACATGCACTTGCTTACATCCAAAACACCGATGCCATGCCCCCCATTATCCCTTTTGAACCAACTGACAAGACAAGTCTGCCTGCTTCGTGCTCCTTGCTTTGTGAGCACACATAGGTACTAAACTTACCGTTGGTTGACTGTGGCGCTCTGCCCTTGAGTCGGTATCTCTTGACTCGATTTTGCAAAAATAACCTGGGGTGTGTGATTGGGCTGAGGTTGGTGGCTGTAAGCTGCATGCATAAAGAGGGTAAAGTAGAATAGAGTAGCTATATGTATCCACCTAGCCCTACTTTGCTCTCTGTACCGGATTATTTTGGTGGCTGTAGGTTGATGTCAGCTTTGTGCACTTGGCTTGCTTGTTTCTGCACATTTGCTCTCATAGTGCGGTTCGCGGGTAGACAAGCTTTGTGATTGACAAGCAGAAGCCACGGTTTGGATCGAAAGAGCGCCTCGCGTCGTGCTGAAGGAATGGGAATTTTCTGCTCCACGGCTGAAAGTTGATGCTGCTTGCTTGTCGCCAGTCAGATAAACGCTGGTGGATGTTAGTTTAGGGTTAAGCTGCATAAATCCCCAGTGTCTAACTGGATTGGAAAATATGCAGTTGGATTAGGGTTATGTGTAGTGTGGCTAGAGGCGGCTATCGCCACGTGACGCGGCGATCTCAAGGTGTCGGCGGGCCGACGGTAGCCGCACAGCTTCGAGCTTCAACCTCGAGCTTCAACTATAGATACCTGTAAATACTTTAATATATCACACACTGTCAATTCAGTCATAGAAATACCTCTAACAATGACTTCTTGGCTCCAAATCCCTACAGGGAGCCACTTCGGCCTCTCAAACATCCCTTTCGGCATAATCACCACGCCCGCCTATCCTTCCCCGCACCCCGCCATTGCAATTGGAGCTCACGCTCTCGATTTGCACATCTTTACCCTCTCCGGCGGTTTCACTGCGCTCCCTGAGTTCACATCAAGCCACGTCTTTACCTCCCACAGTACGCTTAACGAATTCGCAGCGCTTGGCCGTCCTGCTCACCGCCTCGTGCGGGAGTATCTCCAGTCTGTACTTGCGGAGGATACACCGCATCCGGAGGTGCTAAAGGACAACGAAGCTCTCCAGAAGTCATGTCTCTTTTTACTGGATGATGTGACAATGCACCTCCCGCTGCAGATTGGTGACTACACCGACTTCTATGCCGGCCGCCATCACGCCTTCAACGTCGGCACGCTGTTCCGTGGGCCCGCCAATGCGCTGCAGCCAAACTATGAGCATATGCCGATCGGATATCATGGGCGCGCCTCTTCTGTTGTTGTTTCTGGGACTCCTGTAGTGCGACCGCGTGGACAGGTATTGGAGAAGCCTGGTGGAGCGCCAGTAGTGAAGCCGTGTGGAAAACTAGACTTTGAACTGGAGCTTGGGGCGTTTTTGTGTAGGGACAGTACTATGGGAGAAAGTGTGGAGGTGGGGGAAGCTGCGGAATGGTTGTTTGGTGTGGTGCTGTTGAATGATTGGTCCGGTGAGTAATTGTTGTTTTGCATCGAGGCCTTATGGGTGGTGGGATATGATGCTGACGGTTTGGATGTTGTAGCACGAGATGTTCAGGCATGGGAGTATGTCCCACTTGGCCCGTTCACGAGCAAGTCTTTTGCGACGTCAATATCGCCTTGGGTAGTTCTGATGGATGCACTTGAGCCGTTCCGCACCGCACCGTTGCAGAGATCGGATGGGGCTGCGCTACTGAGCCAGTATCTGCAGGAGGCCGAGAAAAACAGCGTGTATGACATTAATCTCGAGATTTTATTAAACAGTAAGTCTCTCCTTGGATCGCTAGCCAGAAAACCCGATATGTGAAATAGAGAAACCAATCCTGCCGGTTTCTTTAAAGAATTAAGAAAATGAAATAAGTTAACATGTTCTTTACCTAATAGCACCTAAGGGGAGTACATACACAATCAGCAAAACTTCTTCCCGAAACCTCCTCTACTCTTTCCCACAGATGATTGCGCACCACACCATCACTGGTTGTCCAATGCGTACTGGGGACCTTCTAGGAACTGGGACCATCTCTGGTACGGAGCGGGAATCTCTAGGGAGCTTGTTAGAGGCAAGTCGGAATGGGGCAGAGGCTGTCGTACTAGGCGACGGGAATGATGGAGAGAAGGTAGAGAGGTGTTGGTTGGAAGATGGAGATGAAGTTATCCTAAAAGGTGTCTGTGGGGAAGGTGTGGGGTTTGGAGAGGTTAGAGGCGTAGTGAGGCCTGCGAGGAGTTAATGGGTGATACCTGGGCTGGAGTGCGTAGTTGTAGCTGAAACTATGTGTCTAGAAGGCCACTATTAGGATTGGCATTGAATAGAATGCAATTTTAGCTTTCTTAAATCGCGTTGAATAAGAATGAGAGGGATATAACGCGGCCCATTTCAAGAAATATATTCATGGAATATCACTCGAAAGTTGAAAGCTATCTTTCGAATGCATGAAGATGAAATGTTGGTTAAAGGGAAATAACGATGGTTCTGAAGCCTTTGAACAGAAGAAATGCTGTATCGAAATGGTGGCAAGAAAAGAAGGAATGGGGCTCTTTTATAAGAAGACATCACCAAGATGACAACATAACTGTACAATATACCCGCAAGAGACCATCAGACTACTAGAACTACTTAGAGACCAACAAGTATCCAATAAAAAGCATAGTTGTCCCGTAGGTGTTGTCACAAAGTACAGAGACGCAGGGCGTCCGAAATCCCCAAATTCTAGAGCATACATGTAGATTTAGCACTATGAATCAAGCCAAGCTCAGGTGATGGCTCGACTGATATCCACCACCTCCTGAGCCGACGCCCTCGACAGTACCCAGAGTTGAACGATCAGTGCTTGTGATGTGGAGACCCGAGGGGGGGGTGGTTGTGTGATAAGCTCCGAGTACATGGGGGGGGGGGGGGGCGGTACGAAGAGACAAGCGGGTAGGAGGTTTGCTGTTGATAAGGGTGCGGATGTGTACATAGAACACTCATATTATGTGTGTGTGGGGGGGGGGGGGGGGGTGTGACGGTGGCAGGGACCGTGTGCAGCGAGGTAGCTTAATCATAAAATATCACTCGATAGCCAAGAACCTGCCTCCAAAATATAGGTGGGGATACCTTCGTCTGATGGAAGATTTTTGCTTTGCAGTGTGCCGCTGCGAACTCCTTGGTGGATACATAGGAGACGGGAAGCGTCCGTCCACGCCTTGCTTACTCGCAAGTTTGACACGGCACACCACGCACCTACGCAAGCTCCTCCCTCCCGAACACATCACACCAATCTCCAATCCTTATCCACACACACACACACGCAAACCTAAGCCCTACCCTAGAGTACACACAACCCGTCGGCCAAAAATCCGGGCTTGGCGCCACGCTCCCTCCGCTATATAAGCAGCCTCTCTCCCGCACCCTTCTTCTCTCCTCATACTTACCTGACGACGGGAACTGGAGCACATGAAAACCAGTTCCCCTGATCGCCCCTTTTCTCATTGCACACAGAGGTTAGGGAGGTCAGCCAGCAATCTTCGGATTTGCCTGGGTTGTTTAATTTTTGATTTCCCCAAACTTTGGCTGGTTTTTTCTTCTCTGTCTGGGCGGTGTCCGAGGCGGAGAGGAAAATATATTCAGAGTTTTTTTGTGGGGTTTTGGATTTTTGTGGGGTTGGCTTCTATGGGGTTTGGCTTTTGTGGGGTGTGGTTTCTGTGGGTTTGGCTGGTGGGGCTCGGCTCGTCCCGTGGTGTTTTCCCCTGGGCTCATGTCTTGTGGCCATAGACTCTCTCCTCTCTGCATTGATCCGGAGTGGGGAGGGAAAGTCATTTGGCGACGCGGGTTTTGGCTTCCGCTTGCCCCTCAGTGCCAGCTGCACCATTGGTGTTTTCGTCTCTGCCTGGGCTCTGTCCGAGGCAGCAAAGAAAACTCTTTTGGCTTTGTGGATTTTGGCTCCGGTTCCCTGCAGTTGGCTCTTGCAGCTACGGGTTGTGGCTCGTGGGCTGGGCGTCTTCCTCTCTGCTTTCGTCCGAAGTAGAGAAGAGACATATATCATGTTTCAATGTGGGTCTTAGCCAATATTAATGTTTTCGTCTCTACTTGGGTTCCGTCCGAAGCAGCGAAGAAAACGCTTTTGGCAATATGGGTTTTGGCTTCAGTGGGTTGGCTTGGTTCAGCTTTGGTTTCTTCGTCTCTGCATTCCTGGGTTCTGTCCGAGGCCGGGTGAGGATTCTTCTACATAGTAGACTACGGTTTTCTTTTGTGTGTTTGTGTTCTGGCCGTAAAAGCCCATGTAGCTACTCTCTTTGTGGCCCGTGCTGCGCATTTTTATCTTTCTCTGCGTCTGGAATGTGTACGAGGCGTAGAAGGAGACTCTTTGCGGCGGCGGCGATGTTTATGGGTAAGTGGGGCATAAATCAAGAGATCAAGCGTGCTATAAAGAATAGTCTGAATAGGGACTGTAGCGTATGTAGATGTTTACGCATATATGTATATAAACTATAAAATTACTCTACGTGCATGATGAAGGAATTACAAGATCCAAAAAATAAAAAAGCCAAGTAACTACAGCTACTCTGCAAAAGTGTTCGTGATTCCGATTTCGGAGTGAGACATTTCTCCATATGTAACCGCGGTGGGCCATCAAGAACCCCCAAGAGAAGACCTTCCCAGTGACCAATGACGCCCAAATTAATGAAGAATAAGATCAATGACCTATCCTCTTTTATATATATAGTCACGAACTATATTATATATTTCTCGTTGTTTTGAATCTCAACTTTAATAACATCAGTATTACGGGTGCGCCACACTGCGCACCGACATTAAAACTATATCACGAACACTTTTGCTGAGTGGCTGTATGTAGCTAGCTATGTATGTAGAAAAACCAAAAAGCACCATCTACCCGTTACATAGGCAGACAGGCAAAGAAAGAAGCGAAGCAAAAAAAGAGGCCAGAAGAAAAGAAAGAAGAAAAAAAAGACATCACAGCAAGACCGTGATGTGATGTGAAGTAAATTATAAACGTAGATCTGCATGCAATCTTTTTATATATAAAACCAATTCGATTCCACTTTTATCCATGACGGGCGGGAATCGATTAGATGAGGGATGCAAGCGCGATACACCCAAGATTGATGAGCCCGTTCTATTATAGTGTTTATATATGTCAGTGTATGATCTAAGAAAAGGAAAGGAAGGAAGGAAGCAAAAAGGCTACTAGAGCCAATGATCACAACCACCACATACCTGCGTAGTCTCTCCCTGGCAGCAGGCCGCCTTTGCATCACACGCCTTATTAATCGGCACTTGCGCTGTGCATCCCCACCACATTAGCCACCACTCACCCCCTCTCCATCACCCCAGACAAAACAAGAAAAAAAACATACCCGCCAAAACCGGCAAATTAATCGGCGAGCACTGCAGTCCAATATCGCCGGAGCCAAACACAGACCCGAGCAGGCCGGCGCTGGTGGTGTCGCCCTTCTTCTCAATCTTGTTGCAGCAGTTTAGCTGCGCGTTGCCGCACGTCTGCACGCCCTGCTCGACGGTGTAGTCGCCCTTGACGGTGCCCTTGTTTGCGGCGGCGTTGCCCGCGTTCTGGCCCTTGTTGCCGACGTCCTGGTCGCCGGAGCCGTCGTTGCCGGAGGCGGTGACCTGTGCGGGGGCGGGGGGAGGGGGGTGGCGAGGGTGAGAACGGGGAGGAGGAGGAGGAGGAGGGTGGGGAGGAGGCGGGAGTAGTGCATTTTGAGTGGGTGGTGGGAGGAATGTACTGGTAGTTGGATGTAAAGAGTGTATTGGTGGGTTGAAGAACTTGGAGATGTAGAGAGCGAGTCGGTGGGTAGGTAGGTAGATAGAGTACAGTGCAGCAAAAGAAAGACGGAGAGAGAGGAGCGTATTTATGAAAACCATACTGATGCCAGAAAAGTGGCAGGTTTGTTATTTGTTATTCCCCATTCCCCTCTCTCCCCGCAATGCCCATCATAATCAAAGGACCTTACAGCGTGCCTGCAATATTAATTTTTTTGCCCGAGTCTACGAGAACGACCAGGTGCTCTAATCTCCGCGATAAACATATCTCGACGCCCTTACTGAGGTTTTCCATATCGCTTGAGATTCCGTGAGGTAAGGGGGTGGTTTCATGTCTTATTGGATCATCTACTATCACTCGGTACGCAACTGGGTGCTGGCTGGTGATTTTGTAAGGGGTCCCCTGCGAGGAGAGCGAGGAGAGGGTGTTGTTTGGTAGAGTGTTTAATTGCAACCCTGGTCTGGGTTGTGTAGTTATAAGGGAGCGAGGGGTCCGTCTTCGGGCGCGTGTGTGTATCTACTGTCTCTAGGTCTTTAGTTAGCAGTGGTCGATTAATTACAATTCGATACGTTTGTGGATACCCAGCCGGATTCTAGCTCGGGTGATGTGCGACTTTGTTGTTTTGAGATTGTTGCCCGCAAAGAGGATTGAATCAGGTCAAGGTACGTATGTAGATAGTGGCCACCCCATGCAGCTGATCAGGAGCGAGTGATAGGAGTTATCGCTCTGCTATCTTTCTCATGTCATGTCTTTTGTCAATGATTACAGAAGTTCATTGTTGCATCATGGCGTATCACTCGAGCCCGAGAGTTCCCCTCGTTTGTCGTGAGAAATTCGCGCGTTTGGGGCGTTAGGCACAAAGCGAAGATCACAGTTTGTAGTTTTCTGCCGGGTTGGTGTTCGTTATAGCATACGGAAGCTGCACGTACGGACCGGCGCGCGGCGTACGGAAAGTGATACGGGAATTCAAAGGTCCCGAGTTAGGTAGGTAGCCTTAATTCCGGCCCAGTATATACATGTACCTACGAGCAGCCGATACTAACGATTACCCAATGGTACATAGGTTCGGCGATGGAAGCGATCGAGGTGCATGCAGTGGGTACACAGAGTAGTTGATTGGGGGGTTTTAGCGGAATTAGAATACGGAGTTAGGATTTTGGGGTTACGGGGTTAGGCGTTTACTTTTTCTTGTCTGTTTTTCAGCCGCGAGGGATATAAATACGGCGTCATTCTGCCCCGACCGACTAGCCAAACCCATCATCCGCGAAATGATGGGGAAAAAAGGGCCCAGCACGTGGCGCTGGAGTGGATTTGAGTACCTTTTAATTTTCGCTCAAGGTGGACCCCATATACTTTGCAGTCCGAATCAAGATTCAGGATAAGGCCGCGTGGCCGAGGCCGGGAATCTTTTTTTATATATCTACACTGCTTGAAGATATGGGGGAGAATACTTGTAAGATTAAATTTACCAAATCTGTTGACTGCTCTTGGCTCTACAGAGAAGTTACTTGGTCAATAACTTCGGAGTTGTCTAGCCGTGAGATGGTGCCAGTGGGGCTTGTGGTGGTAATTACGCACAGTATATTGCCGCTCACATGTTCACTTGGAGGGACAGAGTCATTATTATATACACATCTATCATCATGTATCTACCAATGTAGGAGATGGTTCGATAGAAGCTTCGACTGATGTTGTAGATGGTGGTTCTACTAGGCAGGAGGGAGGTTCGGAGGGAACCTCACTAGATGCTGCCGTAGAGAATAAACGACTGTCAGCTACATATACTATAGCAACTCGTCCTCAATCATGTCGTATAAAAAAGTGTAGTAGTAGTCCTATGAACCCATCTCTTCTCGTCCTGTAGTTTGGTATTGTTGACCGAAACACACAGCACCAACCTCCAGTCTATAGGGACACATAGTTGTACCTACTAACGGCTCCTTTCTCAGAATATACGTCTTGTACTATGTCCAGAGGGCATGATTGTAGGAGAGGGAGCTGAGGAAGAGAAGAAGACCCGCGCTAGATGTTCTGTTATCGATAAGACCTCCTAGCCCAAGTAAGTAATGCTTGGCAGCAACACCACAGCTTTCTTACTTGCAGCTAGCTATCTCCACTCTGCTCCTCCCTGCTCAGGTATCATACACCAACGAATTGCAAGAAGAATATCGCAATCCTCCACCCACATCACAAAACACCCCCACAACTACCGCCATGTCATCCCGGATCTGCAGATATGTATTGTTACAATCACAGCGGAATAAATAACCTCCCTCCCCTCCAGATCCGCCCGCCTGCACCCAAGATCTCACACAATTGAAGGGCCCCCCCCCCCCCCCAACCACTAACCACCCACTAACCCACCCACCACACACAGATGGGACCCCTACTACGTCCGCCCCCTCACACGCTTCTCCAGCAGCGGCCTCATCCCCCCGATCAGCGCACCGCGCTCGACTACCTGTCGCCGGCTGGCCGGCTCTGTACATGGTGCTCGGTGTTGGCGATAGTAATACGCACGGGCTTTGCGGAGGCATCTGTTGAGGTTGTGGCTGGTGGTGGTAGAGTGGGAGGGCGGGTGGGCGCTGCTGTTTGTGGGTGGTGGGGAGGTGAGGAGGGGGGGTGGGGGTGGTGGCTGTGGTACTGGAATGATTGTGTACGTGTGCCTCGGGGTTCTGGGTGTTGAGAATCTGCGATGGCTATCTGATAAAAGCGCAATTCACGTACCCGCTTTCCCGAGGGTGCATAAAGAACATAACAATAGTATCTGATCAGTGGACCAACACAGTTTATTCGAAAATAAGGGGTAATGATCACATTAGTACAAAATAAAAATATATCAAAAAGAAAAATAAGGAAAGGAGCAATTCATTACCCTCCAGCCCAAAGCTACTTAGCTACATGTATTGATCTACACATTATATAGTCAGTCCCTCGCTCGTCAAGCACGATAGAACAGCAATTAATTGTAAAAAAAGCAAGTGAAAATAGTCAGCACAAGTCCCATACTCATGCATTCATTAAATGGTTGGAATTCTTAGTTGCAACGATATCCGACCATTTTAATGAACGCCCGAGTATAAAAGTCAAAAAAAAAAAAAAAAGAAAAAACGCCAAATACAATCCTAGCGCCCTTAGCACCCTATCCGCCTCTCCATCCACTTCATCCACATCATCCACCTCCTCCGGCTCACACCCGACTCCAGGTCTTCCTACCCCTCGCTAGCTAGTTGGAACATCGAGGACTACAAGTAGCTAGGGTGATCGCATCAGTACTCAACTATGTCACCAGGGGGCTAACTCAGCTCGTATCAAAAAAATAAGGTACAATGATCGCATTAGCATAAAAGATATCATAAACAGGAGGGGGCAGAAAAAGGACAGAAAAAGGACAAGAAAAAGGAAGGAGGGCAATTCGTTACCCATCCCAAAGCCAATAAGCCAAATCCAACATCACCAAGGAGATTCCACGCACGAGACACTACTTCCTCATCGACCACAACATAGAACCGCAAATACCTGCTAATTAAAGGGAAGAAAGGAAAATATTTTGAAAATTAGACAGCACCCAACTCCACCCCAACACATATAAAAGCCAAAAGAAACGCCAGAGGAGCCCCCAAACTCCACCAAGGAGATTCATATATGAAAGATATTAGTCCCTCGTCAACCACAACACATAAAACCGCAACTAAAACCGCCACGGGAAGAAAGGGAAAACATCTTAAAAAAATAGTCAACCAACTCCATCCACCACATAAAAGTCAACTGAAAAAAGAGCCCCAAACCCGAACCCTAAACAACCCACGGCACAACCTGAATCCACGACTTGAACACAATCGCATCCATCACCCTATTCGCCTCCGCATCCACCTCCTCCTCATCCTCATCCGCCACCCCCACCTGCACGTCCACCACCTCCTCATCCTCCAACAGCCACTCATCCCACTCGTTCACTGTTCCTTCGCTGCCACGGTCACTCCCCTCGTCACAGCTATACATCGTCCCATCACTCTCCTCCCCCTCATCCTCCTCCGCAATCCCTTCCAGCGGCGTAGCCACCGCCTCCCGCAGCGCCAGAATCAGCACACTACCCGGCGACACCGGCGCGGGCTCGAGCGACAGCCGCGAGAACAGGTGCGTTAGCTCCTCGATTGATATCTCCGGTGTTTTGGCACTAGTATCAACGTCAGTGGCAGTACTGGCTGTGTTAGTAGGAGTGCAAGTGCCATACCTAGCACCATGGCCGGTGTGGAGTGTCAGCTTTGTGAGGTTTCGGGCGAGCTCCTGGGAGGGGGTGCGGGGGCGGAGGAGGGAGCGGTGGGCGAGGGTTTCGGCGTCGTGGATGTCGTAGAGGGTGTTTTTGAAGAGTTGGTCCAGCTCTTGCTGGGTGTTTGTGTGTTGGGGGTCGGGGGGTGTAGAGTGACCCGGGTCATTTTGATAAGAGGTGAGAACGTGGGGATGTGGGGATGTGTTGTTAATTTGGGTGGACGAGTGAGAGGGTTGAGGATAGCGTTGGGGGACGAGTGAGAAGGTGTGAATGTAGCTTTGGGTGAGTGAGTGAGTGGACAGTGAGAATTATGTCGAGCGGACGATCGAGTGAGCGGGTGTGAATATAGCTTTGAGCGGACGAGTGAGAACCTAAGGGGAGAATATATAAGAAAGAGGAGGAGGAAAAGAAGACAGTATAGCGTTATTTATCGCCAGCAGCTGGCACAAGATGGTGGGTGATGTAGAAGGTATTCGACACCTAGTGGGGTCTTTATAAATTAGCAGTTGACGGAGGACAGGAGAGGGCAGTAGATCAGAGCTGATGACTTGACTCACGAAGGGGAGCTTGTGATTAAGTTTCCGCAGCTATCGGGCTCGGGGCCTGCGCTCCTTCTATGGACTGTATCAACCACTATCTAGCAGGTTATCAGTTCAGTACGTGTAGCATTAAACTAGAGCGCTAATCACCGTCTTTTTACCCCGTAGGCTAGCTGAGTATTCTAACTGAGTAGGCTATAAGTTGTTTAGTCCTTCTTCACGCCGTTGATGTCTTTCTATGAGAGGTGGTTCTGGGAGTTGTAGTAATGATCATTGACTCCTGTACGAGGAACCTGTGAGTGAGTGGGGTGGGATTGTGACCGTTAATATGTCTGTCTTGGGTATAGACAGGAAAGTAGAGAATTACGCCTGTTACCTGGGTCAATGAAGCCGGTGCCGCTTTTTCGATGTTCTTAGGAATGCGTAATACTGGTTGCCTATTGTGTTTTCTTGTATCTTGACGGATCATGAGTCTTGAGTTCAGTATCGTATATGTAATAGGTATTGCAGCAAAATCTAGAAAATACTTTTATATAACCAGAGCATAACAGTGCCAAAGTCGAGGCAGCTTATGTACATACTTTCTCGGAGGGTAGAGAAAAATTAATAAAGAACTGTCGGCACTGGATGTGTCCAAAAAGGTCCTGCCCGGAGTCGAACCGGGATTACAGGAATCAGAATCCTGGGTGCTAACCATTACACTACAGAACCATGCCACAAAGACCAGTATATCCATTTTAGTTAAAAAAAAACATTGCACAAGTGGAGCAGGCTCTACCGAAAATATTTCAGGTAGAGGTGCCCTAGCTAGCGGTTCTGTAGTGAAATGGTTAGCACCCAGGATTCTGATTCCTGTAATCCCGGCTCGACTCCGGGCAGGACCTTCTTCAAAGTTCGGCATCACTGGAATTCCCCCAGCTGGTGTTGCAAATTTTTTCTGTGCTAGTATCGGGAGCGGAGTGAACTAAGCTCTTTTTGGCGGATAGGCTGTGTTGCTAGATGCAGAAGCGAAATAACTATCAAGTTTTCAAGGTTGTAGAATTGTTGAAGAATAGTCGCTAATTGGGTTGCATTTAAGAGAACTAACAGCATAGCATTCCTTTAATCTACAGAAGATGCAATGTTTCTGTTGATGCGGGTGGCAGTGACGGTATCCGGTGGACCCATGCAACCCACGACTGTTTATTGTCTTCAAGCTCGATCAGCTAAGGGTTTGATATTTGGAATGATATGAAAATCTTTAGTAGCTCGTGTCTCTTCTGGGATCGGTATCTGGAGAGGCTGGTTAGTTAAAATATATGTAGGCCTACAGACACAGGTTTTTACCAGCAAGGCCTTATATATGTGAGCAAAAACCGAACAGGCCAACAGTAATATCTCGGCCCAGAGGATGTAGATGGTTGTGGTAAGATATTGGCAAGATTCGCACAAGCTCGAGCTCTTGGTCTACAGATAGTGGTATAGACCTGGATGGAACTACATCGGGTTTCTTAGATTCAGTATCTGGAAAGCTGGAAATTTTGTTTGGCTTAAGCTCGTAATTGTCTCATACTTACTAGACTCAACCGAATAAACCGTTAGTTTACTTTTCACTATCATGTAGAGAATATATTGGGTAAATGCATGTATACTAATAACGGGGAGGAGGCCATTAATTGGGGAAAGAAGCCAGAGAACCTTTGAAAGGAGAGGAGAGAGGGAGTTATTCCCCTACCATATTCTTATATAGCTGCTTGTAGGTAGCTATAGGTGGATAGCAGATCTGTCCCTTTACCTCTTAACCAAACGGAGTGGTGCTGTAGAGAAGGATAATATTCTGCAAACACAATTGCAAGAAAGGCTACATAAGATGTCTTGGCACTAGCTTCCTTTCAATTATCACTTCCGAACAGAGAAAATAACAATCGCATAGGCGCGTTTATCTAGTGGTAGACGGCACGTCAGTGTTGAAACATCGTCTGGAGACCAGTAGAGAATCGATTCTAGTCTTTATCACGCACGTATCATCATGTAGTGTACGTACCCACGGGGGTCCTTTCAACATTTATTTCGATCTTCTAGATCTATAGTTTATGTCTTTCTGAGCCTACCGGTCCCTGATCGGTTGGGTGTGAAATTTATCTCGGTGTCACCTTTGGTTCTTTGTCGTTGTTGAGCTCCAGCTCCATTCAATTGTGAGGGTTAGGGTTTGTTTATTTGGAGATATACTCGGTCGTTAATTAAAAGGTCGGAAATTTTAGTAAGCATTTGGTTGCAACGATATCCGACCATTTAATTAACGCGCGAGTACGCCAAGGATTTTTAAGGTTGGTGTCCTCTTTCTTTACTACAGCGGCTTAGCTAGCTGGGCGAGCCTCGCAACGTCTGTCTTCCCATTGCACATCGCTTGACTATTGGCAATATTCACCGACTCATTGTCTATGATTTCTATACATATTACCTTCCACATCAATCAGTTCTGAGCCAATATGTTCAGATTTGAGATAAAAAGCATGCGGGGCTGATACCTCTCCTCTTGCAGTGTCGTTGACCCGGAAGATCTGGAGAGCGCATGGACGATGAAGATAAGTATGTTCACCGAATCGAAACTATATCTTTCTTCTGCTGATGACCTAAGATATATATATAGATTTTTATCTTGAAAGCTCAGGTGGTATTTAACGGCTTAAACTATTCTAAAAGGTCGGTATTTTAACACTGGACATGTTCTCATAGCCTTAGGATTGCATGCAATAGTGGGTTAACAACAATAACAATAACACTGGTCGTGAGCAAACACATATTGGGCGTTCTTTATCCGCCGCCCGGTGCTTCAAACAGACGGGGCCACAAAAGATAGCACCTCACCAAATCATCTTTTATCATAGAAAAACGATGAATAACACAATATAAAGAATCTATTCACTCCTTCAGGCAACACCCTTCCCCGTTCAATCTAACATGCAACCTCTTATTTCAAGACAAATATGTGGAGCTTACGTATAAGACTATTAGGGCTCATGATGAGAAGAAAAAGCCTCTTTCATAACTGTCTGTGGAATTCGTCTGCTAAATCATTAATCTATATCTTGTAGTTCAGAAGTTCCACCCGACCCTCTGGCGCATGCAATTAATGAATTAAGCAAAAAAAAAAAAAAAAAAACCCCGACCCTCTGGCAGCGGTGGTGAAAACCATGTGGATCATGTCTTATCACTCGATAATCACATGAGAATCGTTCATTGTCTATATTGCCTACATGATAAAGGTGGGATTACCTAAAGAAAACCGAATCTTGAAGCACAGTTAAATCCCTAAAATAGTGTGTTTCCCCGTACCCCGAGTGGAGACTTTAGAGGTAATCAAGTTTGCAGGACTATTATATACCAGGTTTACTCGAAGCTACAAGGCCTAATGATCAACGAAGTGTTACCGCCTTCAATGAAAAGCCGATGGCACTTTGTCGTACATCAAAGATATCTTTCACCGGTAACCATCTACAGAGCCCTGATCCTAACTGTTATGTTGGTATATGGTTGCTGCGTAGCACAGGGGAGCAGGCTACTTGCATCATATCCATTTTTCTACGGAAGAGTGGGGTACAAGGAGTCGTCCTCTGACGCCAAAACTGTCAACAAGCTCTTTACCCCGAACATGACTCTTACACAACTGTTCTAAAAGGCAAGAAATATGGGTTCTATGCTGAGAAGATCACAAGACGCAGTGAACGTACGTGCTACACGCGGCATAGCGTGTTGATCTCTATTGTTATACGGCAAATGAGAATGGAACGAACTGGAGTCATATCAACAGCCGAGATCAGCGGTCTGGGGAATTTACTTGCCTGGGGTGCCTTCCACAACGGAGGTCATATGGTGATACGTTACGAGTGGCTCTATGGATGATCATGGGCAGGGAAGTGCACAAGCCAGAAACCTCCGCTCCCCGTAATGTAAGTTTTAGTGTAACTCTTGATTTCAAATGTGGGGATGGGCTGATTTTCACGAGGAAAATGAGTATTAGTCTGCCTAATAAGGGAAGCCTAAGAAACTACCGTACAAGAAAGACGATATTTCTTTGCTCCAAAAATTATCATGATGCCATAAGGGATGGTAGCCTAGCAGGGCTAAACCATTGCCAGATGTATTGGTTTCGTGAATAACCCAAATATTGGAACTCGGGCTGCAAAATTTTAATTTTGAAATATATTCGCAGTTCGACAAAACTGGGCCGCAAGCCTACAGATACCATGGAAACTGACTACAGCAGATTCTCCCTATAATGATACCCGCTATAAGAATAACCGCCCTAATGACTTCTTGGTCCTTATTGAGCTTGAAGCACCCTACAAGGGTATCGATCTCTGGTCTTGGGCGTACAATACGAATGTCAGTTAGAAACGCTTATATCGGCTAGAGACGCACTTTAGTAATTAGATACGAGTGTGTTGGAGTTTTCAACTAAACTCCTATGAACGTTCGCTGAGTCGAGTCAGTCAAAAAATTACTTGAAACAATAAAATTGGGAATGATTAAACTGGACCTATTCTACATCTGTGGTATGTTGATCAATCCTTATTCCGATCGTCTTCTCCAACTTAAAACAACACTTCGCAGACTATGGTTTCGATACTGATCTCTGCTTCAGACG